CCCTCCTCTAGTGACACCTCAATCTGTGACAATTCCTCAGATTTGTCACCTGCAAAAGACGGCTCAGGTTTGGGAATCTCCCTAACATCCTCAGCAGTGAACTCTGAAGCAAAGAATTCATTTAGTTTCTCCACAGTGACTTTATCATCTTTAAGTGCTCCTTTTTTATCTCGATCCCCACTGGTTGTTTAGCAGGCTTCCTGCTTCTGATGTACTTAAAACACATTTTGTTATTACCTTTTGAGTCTTTGGCTAGCTGTTCTTCAAACTCCTTTTTGGCTTTTCTTATTACATTTTTACACTTAATTTGGCAGTGTTTATGCTCCTTTCTATTTACCTCACTAGGATTTGACTTCCGCTTTTTAAAAGATGCCTTTTTATCTCTCACTGCTTCTTTTACATGGTTGTTAAGCCACAGTGGCTCTTTTTTAGTTCCTTTACTGTGTTTTTTATTTTGGGGTATACATTGAAGTTGGGCCTCTATTATGGTGTCTTTGAAAAGTGTCCATGCAGCTTGCAGGGATTTCACTCTAGTCACTTTACCTTTTAATTTCTGTTTAACTAACCCCCTCATTTTTGCATAGTTCCCCTTTCTAAAATTAAATGCCACAGTATTGAGCCATTGAGATGTTCTTCCCTCCACAGGAATGTTAAAAGTTATTATATTATGGTCACTATTTCCAAGCAGTCCTGTTATAGTTACCTCTTGGAGCAGATCCTGCGCTCCACTCAGGACTAAATTGACAATTGTGGGAACCCTTGTGGGTTCCTGTACCAGCTGCTCCAAGAAGCCGTCATTTAAAGTATCAAGAAATTTTATCTCTGCATTTCGTCCTGAGCTGACATGTACCCAGTCAATATGGGGATAATTGAAATCCCCCACTATTACTGAGTTCTTTACTTTGATGGCCTCTCTAATCTCCCTTAGCATTTCATCGTCACTATCACTGTCCTGGTCAGGTGGTCGATAATAGATCCCTACTGTTATATTCCTTTTAGAGCATGGAATTACTATCCATAGAGATTCTATGGAACATGTGGATTCATTTAAGATTTTTACTTCATTTGATTCTACATTTTCTTTCACATATAGTGCCACTTCCCCTTCCCCTCCTCCCCCACACACCCTGTTCTGTCCTTCTGATATATTTTGTACCCCAGAATGATTGTGTCCCACTGATTGTCCTCACTCCACCAGGTTTCTGTGATGCCTATTATATCAATATCCTCCTTTATCACAAGGCACTCTAGTTCACCCATCTTATTATTTAGACTTCTAGCATTTGTGTACAAGCACTTTAAAAACCTGTTTTCTGATGTGTCAGATTCTTTTTTATGTGAATGTTTCTCGTATGATCTGGCCCCTACTTTATCCTCCTCCATCCTCTCCTCCTGACTAAAACCTAGAGAATCTCTATCAATAGAATCTCCTCTAAGAGAAGTCTCTGTCCGATCCACGTGCTCCTCTACAACAATCAGTTTTCCCCCATCTCTTAGTTTAAAAACTGCTCTGCAACCTTTTTAATGTTAAGTGCCAGCAGTCTGGAGCCACTTTGGTTTAGGTGGAGCCCATCCTTCCTATATAGGCTCCCCCTATCCCAAAAGTTTCCCCGGTTCCTAATAAATCTAAACCCCTCCTCCCTACACCATCATCTCATCCACGCATTGAGACTCTGAAGCTCTGCCTGCCTACCTGGCCCTGCACGTGGAACTGGAAGCATTTCTGAGAATGCCACCATAGAGGTCCTGGATTTCAGTCTCTTTATTAGCAGCCTAAATTTGGCCTCCAGGACGTGTCTCCTACCCTTCCCTATGTCATTGGTACCTACATGTAACATGACCACCGGCTCCCCCCAGCACTACACATACGTTTATCTAGATGACTCGAGAGATCTGCAACCTTCGCACCAGGCAGGCAAGTCACCATACAGTTCTATAAAATAACTTCATCTGTAATTTCCACTCCATGCATCTGAAGAAGTGAGGTTTTTTACCCACAAAAGCTTATGCCCAAATAAATCTGTTAGTCTTTAAGATGCCACCGGACTCCTTGTTGTGTTTGTGGATACAGACTAACCCCGATACTTGACACCATCTAGTTTGGAGTCTCCCACTCCTCTTATCTTCTGCATCTAAGTTTAGCACCTTGTTTCCTGTTTGTTCTTCAGACTTTCTTGTCACACTCCCACAGCATCTGAGCCAGGTTCCCTCAGCTTTTCTATCATTGGTCCTACTTTCACTCTTGCCCTAATTCCCTCATTTTGAATATGGTCCATCCTTGTAACTCCAAGCATCCATCTTAACATTTTCACTTCCTTTGTCTTCATGAATAGCTCCTGCCTCTTTCTCAGTCCCTGGCTTTCAGAGCCATACAAAAGTGCAGGCCTGATCACCGTCTTCTAGATCTTACTTTTCTGTTTCCTATCGCAGAGCACTCCCTCACTTCTCTCCCTTTACTCCAGGCCTTTCCCAGTCTGCTGATAAGTTTGTTGTTGAGTTCATTGTTTTCCTTTACTATCATCAAATTGTAGGAACAGAAGGGACCTTGAGAGGCCATCTAGTCCAGTTCCCTGCACTCATGGCAGGACTAAGTATTATCTAAACAACCCCGACAGGTGTTTGTCCAACCTGCTCTTAAAAATCTCCAATGCTAGAGATTCCAGAACCTCCCTAGGCAATTTATTCCAGTTCTTAACTATCCTGACAGGAAGCTTTTCCTAATGTCCAATTTAAACTGCCCTTGCTGCAATTTAAGCCCATTGCTTCTTGTCCTATCGTCAGATGTTAAGGAGAACAATTCTCCTTCCTCCTTGTAACAACCCTTTATCTACTTGAAAACTTTTATCATGTCTCTTCTCAGTCTTCTCTTTTTCAGATTAAACAAACTCAATTTTTTCAATCTTCCCTCATAGGTCATGTTTTCTAGACCGTTAATCATTTTTGTCACTCTTCTCTGGACTTTCTCCAACTTATCCAACTTGTCCACATTCCTTCCTGAAATGTGGTGCCAGAACTAGACACAATACTCCAGTTCAGGCCTAATCAGAGTGGAGTAGAGTGGAAGAATTACTTCTCATGTCTTGCTTACAACACTCCTGCTAATACATCCCAGAACAATGTTTGCTTTTTTTGCAACAGCATTACACTGTTGACTCATATTTAGCTTGTGATCCATTATGACCCCTATCCACAAGGCTTGTTACCCTGCCAAAGAAAGCTATCAGGTTGATTTGACAGGATTTGTTCTTGACAAATCCATGCTGACTGTTACTTATCACGGTATAATCTTTTTGGGGGGTTGCAAATCGATATTGAACCTTCTAAAATTTTTGTAGCTTTGCTCGTGGCTGGCCCCAGACTTACATGCCCATTGTCTTCCTGCAGGAGAGCATTGAATCTACAGACCATACACTCTGATTTCTTCTGCTGATTTTCAGGCCATTTCTTTCCAGTATGCACCTGCATGTCTCTCTGCATCTTCTTTCACTTCCTCTTTCCTCTCCCCCAGGAGCACTACGTCATCTGCAAAAGGCATGTGCCAGGGGCCACTCTCTGGCTGTTTTCTATCAATTCATCCAGCACCAGCGTGAACAAAAAGGGGCTTAGTCCCAAGCCTTGATGTATCCCAGCTGTTACTAGAAACTGTTCCCTTTCGCCACATGAACCTCGCGCTGTGGCAACAGCACCATCGTACAGGTCCTGGACACGTCTGGTATAAAAGCTTTATTCAATCAATGAGGGGTGTCAGGATCAGGCCCCTGTATAAGGCAAACACCAATGTCGGTCGCCCTGCAGTACCTGCAGAACTCACTTTCTGCCCTGGGTCTCTCTGCAAGGAAAGTGGAGCGGCGGAAGCAGCAGTTTTGCTCTTTCTTTAATTCAACCTTTGACATTTTGATGTCCACGTGCGGAGACGGGAATGCGAGTTTTCACTGGAGCTGAGAGGCTCCGCCCCTTGAATGTGCCCTGCAGACTAGTGCCCCTGTGTGCCCCAGAGCCCCTGCGTGCTGCTGTGCTGGGTTAGGAGTCTCACTGGGTTGCGGGAGAGGGAGACATGTAGGTACTCTTCAGAAAAGATCTGTACCCTCCACTGCTGTGGAGGGGGGGTGCACCCTCTAGTGGTGTTTGTCTGTGTCTCATCAGAGGTGCTATACTGCTAACAGTTAATGGGGATTCTCCTCAGCTCATCTGTCAGTGACCTGAGTTTTTCAGGCAGCAGGATCGGGGATCTATCCCTGCCCTGCCAGACATTTCTGAGCAGCTGCCGGATGCAGCATAGAGACAGCTTAGAAAGCTGTGGGCTTCTGACAATGTTGTTCCCTGGCATCTGTTATGGAGGGATGGGGGAACAGGAGCAAAGAAGGAAGGACAAAAGATTTTCATCCCAGTTAGCTTCAGATCCCAGTGGGGCCCCGAATCAGCCTCAGTGGACCCCCTTTGTAAAGGGCTACCACTCTGAGAGCACTGCTGCCCCCTCAACTGGGAGAGGCTGTGATGCCCAATGCCCCCTGCAAACACATGGGACGTGGCACCTAAACCCCCGGACTACTCGCTCCCAAGCTTTTCCTTTCCTGTCCCCAGGAAGCGACTCTCAGTTTCAACATCGTCACCTACATGGGACTGACCCTCTCCCTGCTGTGCCTCTTCCTCACCATCCTCACCTTCCTCCTGTGCCACTCCATCCGCAACATCAGCACCTCCCTCCACCTGCAGCTCTGCCTCTGCCTCTTCCTGGCCGACCTGCTTTTCCTCACCCAGGTGACCCCCACCGGCAGTCAGGTATGGCCTGATTCTCTCCTGCTCTGTTCCTCCAATCACAGCAGGGCTGGGGTGTGTGGCTTTGAACCCCTTTGTACTGCCTGGATTCTGCGCTGTGCAGGACATGGGGGATTCCCAGGGGGATGTTGCCACCCTGTTAGGTGCCTTCACACTGGGAACAGTGGTCTGAGTGTCCCAAACCCCTGGAGTTCAGCCAGTTCTGTCCCTATGTCACAGTCTCCCTGTGCCTCGATTCCTCTCCTGCGTGACTTGCCAGTGGTCACCCAGGGACTCTGTGGCAGAGCTGGGAACAGAATCTGGATCCCCTGAGCCCTGCTCCCCTGATCTAATCACTAATCTCTGCTCCCTTCCTGCATCTGCAATGTGAACCCGCAGGACCCTCCATAGATCAAGGAATCTGCCGTCCCTGGGTCATGGAGCGCTATAACTGGAGAGCTCTGCTAACAAGAATCCTGGTGTCACTCCCAGGCAGGTCTCCCCCATACTCAGCATTTCCCTTCCCCACCACAGTGTCCCTGGGCTCTCTGTCTCCCCCAGGTGGCGTGTGCTGTCATTGCTGGCCTCCTACACTACCTCTTCCTGGCCTGCTTCAGCTGGATGTTCCTGGAGGGGCTGCACCTCTTCCTCACCGTCAGGAACCAGAAGGTCGTGAATTACACCAGCGCCAGCCGGTTCAAGAAGAGATTCATGTACCTGTTCTGCTACGGCTTCCCAGCCCTGGTGGTGGCTATTTCTGCAGCGGTGAATCCTGACGGCTACAGAACTTCCAAACAGTATGTGCAGCGCCCATCCCAAAGGGGAGCTGGGATATGGCTTCCATGCGGTTGTCCAGCTCACCTCAGGTCTGACTTGAACCTAGATTTCCCGGCTCACCCTGCCTGGGAGCTGAATGTCCCCCTGGAACCCTTCCCATCCCCAGGGACACTAAGCTGCCCCGAGGGCTGCACTTGAGTTGCCCACCTGTCAGACATCTACACTCCTCACCCCACTGATGATGTGGAAGAACAAGCCAGAAAGATCCCAGCTTGACTCCCAGGTTGCAGGCTGGGTTTGTGGGGCGGGTGGGTAGGAAACAAATGCATCTTCTTACTGTGTGCAGATCCCCAAGGATCCCCTCTCTAAAGTGAGCGACTCACTAAAACAGGGTGTGGCGTGTTCTAGACACACCAGGCTAGATCTTCAGCTGGTGTAAATCAGGGCAGCTCCACTTCCTTCAGTGCAGCTAGGCCAATGTCCATCCGCTGCATGTCTGGCCCTCCAGCAATACTGCGCCCATCCACCAGAAAGGGTCATTTGAGGAGGTGGAAGAGGAAGTGGGGGCTGAAGCAGGAGATGCTGAGGTAGATGGGGAGGGCTGTTGGCCTGCTGTTTGCAATAGAGTCGGCCATGTCACAGGCAGGCTGAGATCCATCTCGCTTTTGAGAGCCAGCTGCCCTGTGACACACCTGCTCTGCCCCCAGGGCTGAAAAAGGGCAGTAATCCCATTAACGTCACCATCTTCTTCCTCCCTCCCTGTAGCTGCTGGCTAAGCCTGGAGAGAGGCTTTCGTTGGAGCTTCCTCGGTCCAGTCTGTGCCATAATCCTGGTGGGTACCTCACAGAACCACAGGGCCCCATTCTCCTCTCACCTCTGCGAACCCATTGATTTCAGTGAACCAGGGAGGAGAACGTGGCCCATAAAACACAAGGGAAGACCCAGTTAGGTCCCACCTGGCTCATCTTCTGTGGTCAGTCTCGGGATTAGTCCCTGTGCTGTATCCTCAGGCCTACAGCCTTTACTAAGGCACAGCTCCCATGGACGTCAGTAGGAGTTTTGTCAAGTGAAGACAGCAAGAGTTTGGTCTAGTCCAGTTAATGACCCAAGGCACGAGGAAGGGAGAGGGCTACACTCTCCAGTGTTTTTTGTAGGTGGGGAAACAAATGTCCCTACATATTCCTCCCTACCCCTGGGGAATTTGGCGGTGGTGCCGGGGGGGAATTTGTTATAGCCTGAAAGTGGCAGGAAGTATGCTAGAGGCAGGATCTGGAATCTCTGAGCCAGAGCCTGCTCTCAGTTACACCAGTGTAAACCTAAAATAACTCCTGACTCCACTGGAGAGGCTCCATATTTAACTCTGAGCAGCATCTGGCCTCTGTGATCCCATTGATCCATCTCAGCCCTGGCTGTGCTGTCAGTTCCATGCATGGGGAGGGACCGAGAGCTGCCAGGGGATATTACAGAAGAGGGGATGATTCCCCCTGGAAATGAGCTGTCACCATTTCTACAGTGTTCAGATCGGTCCCCTGGGATCATGCTCTACCTCAGCTGGCGTCACCGGCCCAAGATGGGAGGTTTTACAGGAAATATTTCCCACTGTTCCCACAGATAAATATAACATTCTTTGCCCTGACCCTGTGGACCCACAGAAACAGACTCTCCTCCTTCAGTGCAGATGTGTCCACCCTCAGAGACCACAGGTGAGAAGGCAACAAAACAGTCTTGGAGGGTCAGATGTCTTGGTTTGGAGGGTCCTTGGCACTGGGAGGGTGTGAGGGATTGCAGGAGGGGAACAACATATCTAGGATCCATAGGAACGAATTCCCAGTATGTTCGCATTGACAGTAACCCTGTCCCACACAGGAAAACAGGGGATGGTAGCTCCACTCCACTCTGCCCAGACCCTCCTGACCCAATTGCTCTTCATAGGGTTATTGTACCTCGATCTCTTCATCTGCCTTTACCAGGTTACTGACCTTTAAAGCCATCTCCCAGCTCTTCATTCTGGGCTGCACATGGAGTCTTGGTCTCCTCCAAGTCGGCCCAGCAGCCATGGTCATGGCGTATTTATTCACCATTGTCAACAGCCTGCAGGGAGCCTTCATCTTCCTGGTGCACTGTCTCCTCAATCGCCAGGTAATGCCCACGGCCCGTCAGCGCCCACCCAGCACCTTCACTGGCCTCGTGGTGGCCATGTCTGATCTTCTCCAAGTTAGTTACATAGTGCAGTGACCGTGTCCCTCACTCTCCAGGTGAGAGAGGAGTACAGGAGATGGATCAAGGGATTCCAAACTTCCAGCACAAAATCTCAGACATCCGATCTATCCATGTCTGCTTTCCCCACCACCAAGATGGTCAGAGGTCCTGTGCTCTGTTCCAGTACCAGCCTGTGAAACAGTCATCTCTAGCTGGGTCTCATTACTGCTGTAAAGGTACGTTGCCCCCCCGAATGAGTCAGGATTGTTTATGAGCCAGCTGGGAACATCACTGCAAGTGTTAGTGAGAGTCGGTCACTATCGAGGGGTATCCTAGATGTCTTAGGCACCAGAACAGAATGTCCTTTCCTGGCACCTCTGTGTTTCCTTCCCTTGGCTCTCCTGAGAGCTCCAGGGGTCACTCACTGTGTACTAGGGAGGCATTGGCTCTTGTAAGGATCTGAGTGGATCAGATTGTCCCCTTAGATTGAATCCTTGTCAGTGCAGACGGATCATCCCCAATGGCTGCAATTATATTAATGGGACTCAGAGACTGACCCGGGCACAGCTGGCAGTGCACATAGTGACAGACGCTCAGAGCCAGCAGGGGTTGCAGCAGGCTCTGGGGAGCAGCCGCCAGCCCCACTCTCAGCCTAGGGCTGCACAGAGGGGGAGAGGGAGAGCAGGTGGCTGTGGGTGTGGGGGGCAGCCATGGCCAGCAGCTCCTGGTATGGGGGCAGGAGGAGGGGACAGCGTGGTTCCAAGCGCTGATAGGCCATAAACCAAATCCTGACTGCCCACGTTCTCTGTCTCCCGCCCCCCACCCCCAACAGCCCCTACCAGTAGCTTCAGGGCAGGGAAGAAGAATGCAGTGCATCCCCTCCCCTGCCACCCCCTTATAGAGGGCACTGAGGCAGCCAGCGAGGGTGGGAGAGAGCTGCTCCTGTCACCAACGAGCTCCTGTACCCAGCACTGAAGAGGCACAAGAGGGGTGAGAGCGAGACCCAGGGGTGGGTTGGGGAAGGAAGAGGGAAAAGAGGGGGGACCTTGATGCTGCCCAGGCCGGAGCTGTTCTGGGGACAGAAGCCGTCAGTCTCTGGGGCTGTCAATCCAGCCTCCCTGGCCATCACTTAAACGCTGTGTGAGAACCAAGCTAGCGCAGAATGGAAATGCTGAGCGGGGAGGCCACTGCCCACTCATCTCACCCACGTGGGGGCGGGGGCTTGTTAGCTATAGGGCATAGGCACCGACTCCATGGGTGCTCCGGGGCTGGAGCACCCATGGGGAAATATTGGTGGGTGCACTGCAGCTCCTCGCCCCAGCTCACCTCCTCCTCTGCTCTGCCTCCACCTCCTCTCCTGAGTGCACCGCAGCTCCACTTCTCCCCCTAGCTCCCAGTGCTCGCCCCCGCGAAACAGCTGGGGACTTTGGGAAAGGAGTTGGAATGGGGGTGGGGCAGGGGCGGAAGGGGGCAATGCAGGGGTGGAGTCGGGGCGGGGCCGGGGTTGGGAGGAGGTTGAGAACCCACCGGCACCGGGAAAAGTTGGCACCTATGCTGTAGGGGATGCGGTTGGGTTGCCAACTTTCTAATCGCACAAAACTGAACAACTTTGTCCCTGGATGAGGGCTGGGGCAAGAGGTTGGGGTGTGGGAGGGGGTGAGGAGTGCAGGCTCTGGCTTGGGGCTGGAGATGAGGGGTTTGGAGTGCAGGAGGGGACTCAGAGCTGGCAAAGGGAGTTAGGGTGTGGGAGGGGATTCTGACCTGGGGCAGAGGGTGCGTGCTCTGGAAGGAGGATGAGGGCTGGGGCAAGAGGTTGGGGTGTGGGAGGGAGGGAGTGGTGCGGGCTCTGGGCGGTGCTTACCTCAGGTGGCACAGCTGTACACAGCGCCTCCCCCTGTGGGGTAGAGATCTTTTACAGATGGGGAAACTGAGGCACAGAGAAAGTGACTTGCCCACAGCAAGTCTGGGGCAGAGCTGGGAGGTGAATCCAGCCCTTCTAAGGCCCAGCCCAGTGGCTTTCATAGATTCATAGATTCTAGGACTGGAAGGGACCTCGAGAGGTCATTGAGTCCAGTCCCCTGCCCTCATGGCAGGACCAAATACTGTCTAGACCATCCTGGATAGACATTTATCTAACCTACTCTTAAATATCTCCAGAGATGGAGATTCCACAACCTCCCCTGGGCAGTTTATTCCAGTGTTTAACCACCCTGACAGTTAGGAACTTCTTCCTAATGTCCAACCTAAACCTCCCTTGCTGCAGGTTAAGCCCATTGCTTCTTGTTCTATCCTTAGAGGCTAAGCTGAACAAGTTTTCTTCCTCCTCCTTAGGACACCCTTTTAGATACCTGAAAACTGCTATCACGTCCCTCTCAGTCTTCTCTTTTCCAAACTAAACCAACCCAGTTCTTTCAGCCTTCCTTCATAGGTCATGTTCTCAAGACCTATAATCATTCTTGTTGCTCTTCTCTGGACCCTCTCCAATTTCTCCACATCGCCACATAATTAAAACTCTTTCCTAATCACAAACATATACACTTCTGCTGCCAAGACAGAGTAACCTGGGCTATCCACCATGCATCTTCAATGTCTGATCCAAGTAAGGAGGAAAATGCATAAAAAGAACTATGTCAAACCATACATTTAAGTAATGCTATACCAATCTAAGAAAAGAGGAGCAAAAAGCTGTTTTTGTCCATTTGATTACCACCACCACCAGTTTGACTCTTCTTCACACCCCAAAAGATAATTATATCTGTGACATCATACTAGCATAACATTATATGGTTTTACATACAAAACACACTGTACAGTATTTTTTTATTTAACAGTTTAGAAAAATGTGTGGTCCTTCAACTGATGTAGCTTTCTTCGGTTACAAGTAAAATAAGATTAAAATACAGCATTTACTGCTTAATAGCATAACTCCTAGAAAGGAAAAAAAATCACATAAATGTAAAAATATTAACATTTAAAAAAAATTCATCACCTTATTGTGCCAGTAAGTACCTATTTCAGCACCAATAGCCAGTACAAAGGAAAAACTCAGCCCAGTGCTAAAACCTACTTAGTGTCCCCTTTATGGTGAAAGCAAGTATCAGTTCATGCTTCAAGGAAAATCAGTGATTTAAAATCTGGTTCATTTCAAAAACTGAATTAAAATAATTTTCATGGACGTATGAAAAACCCAAATAAAGGGGGGAAATCTCATTAAATAACTATTAAGGGAAACAGTGAAACTGACAGTACAAAAAATGCTACTCAATCCACAAAATAAACAAAATGAAAAAATAGAAGAAAACGTTTCTCTCTAAGCGTACAGTGATCTTTATTTGCATATCAAGGTTTCCTTTCTAAATAAGAATAAAATGTAGAACTAGAAACAATATTAATTTAATAATTATTATAGTTTATTGTTTTAATGATTAATTATTCATATCACGTAATCATTGGGAATTAATAAATGAAAGCACGTGGCCACACCTCCTACAGCCAGATAATGAAATCAAACTGTAAAAAAGTATCTCTGCCATACAAGCACAAATATTATATGCTGTATTGAACCAAATACTGTTCACAAGGAAACAAAGCTCTTAAGTTTTAAACAAAGCGTCCTGATATATCTTGATAAATTGAGGACACTGAGAAAACTGGTTAACTTATTTTTGTCATATCTGGGAATTTTTCAGTTTCTGTTTTAAGCCAAAGTGCCAGATTTAGAAGATGTTCTCACAGTGAAAGTGAATTGCTTCAAGCTAAAAAGGTAACACTTCAGTCCTATGGGCATTTTGGGGGGAGAGGAGCTAAGTTACTTCCTTTTAAAGTACTAGTGATTCTCAGGAGACAAGGGACTTGATTCTCATCTCTCCTATACATATGAAAGTCCAGAGTAAGTCCATTATTGATGTTAAGAGACTGAAAGTGGGATGAGATCAGAATTTGGGCCAACATATGAACCACAGGGAACAGACATGGAGCACTTTGTTTACTGACAACTGTAGAGTAAGCTGAACATCTTATTTACTGTTTTGTTTTCACTGCAGCCTAGATCATTTTGAACCAGTGCTACAAGGGATATGTTTAGCAAGACTGGAATAAGGAATTGAGAAGTACATCCTCCTGCGTGCATCCTACGAGCCAAATCCATCACACAAGTAGAGACTCACCTCTTTGGAGGGCCAGACGTGATCTGCCTTTGCCCTGCACTGGATTAGACCAGCAGGGCTACATTAATGGCTGTCGAGTATGTCGTGCAAAATCACTTGGAGGAACGTTTTAGGGAGCCACTGAATCAGCATTACTTCTGGGAGCTCTGGCTACGGTCCTGTTGTCATCAGCACTGCCCACTCCTGACACTGGGCTAACTGCTTACAGCTCTGCCTCAAAAGTGAAAATGCAAATGATTTCCCCAACCAAAGCTTGTCCCTTGGGCTGGCAGAGTTCCCAGCCCCAAAGAACTTTGCCACTTCTGCTGATAACATACTCTTCTGCCAGCAGTAGATATTGCCTTATGCCTGGAATTCTGAGGTTAAGTCTTTCGGGATAACCGATGTCCTGTCACGACCATTATGCAAGTATTGACAATATCTGCTGAAATACAAAGCACCCACCACAATGTATGTTGAAATATTAGTGTGGCAAAGTTTCATTGCACCATAAATCAAAAATGTACCCTCCCTTCCTATATTAATGGGAGGCTGTAAAACAGTTTGTATCCTGTAAAGCCAGGGCCTTTAAACATTCCGGTGTATTGGGTTTAAACTGAAGATAGGGCAAGAAAAAACAGGATTCTAGATTATGTAAACATCAGGGGTTTTATAACAGAAGTGCTGACGCAATCTTAACTATCACCATCATCCTTATAGTGTAGTACAGGGAGGTTTTTTCCTTGTATACGTAAAAAGATTTTTCTGCGACTTCCACTGATTCCTGTAACATTCTATTGGTCCAGACTCATTTTTCAACTGTATTGCATTAAGTGAACCCATTCCACAGCAAAATGACCGTACCTCAGCAATTACAATCCAAATGTGAACAATGAAAACAAGATCTATAGATTTCGTCCACAGTGCCAGGTCTCCTGTGCTGAGCTTGGGACCACAATTTTGTAACACTGCGGTTTCCACTCCAGCCATGTCAAAATGGCAGAGTGCTGATCATTTGTGACAGGAAGCATTTGAACTAAGAGATTTTTGAAAGC